GGGAGACCGACAAAGCAGACGAGAAAGGGAACATTGATGAGATCAAGCAGTATAGAGATGCCTGGTGGGTGACGCCTCCAGAAGCACTATGGAGGATATATGGCTTTGACTTGAGCAAGAACCATCCACCAGTACAGTAGCTGTAGCTTCATCTACCCGACATGCACATGGTGGCATTTCATAAACGAGATAAGGTCGAACGGATCGTTAATAGGCCAGGTGTAGAAGAGTCAATGCTGACAGCATACTTCGATGCAAACAGGCATCATGAGGAAGCCCGCGGAATCTTGTATCGGGACTTCCCAGAGCATTTTACTTGGCAATCTGATGGTAAATTCTGGCAGAAAAGGAAAAACTCCGTTTTTCAAGTTGGAAGAGTCATCTCAGCTCATCCTGCTGAGGGAGAACGTTACTTTCTTCGTGTTCTCTTGAACAATGTTGCTGGTGCTACCTCATACGAACATCTAAGGACGGTTGATGGCGTGCTACTACCTTCGTTCCGTGAAGCTGCAGAAAGGAGGGGTCTAATCAAAGAAGACAATACACTAGATGAATGTCTAACTGAAGCTACTTTATTCCAGATGCCTTCCTCTATGCGGAGGCTATTTGCAACAATATTGGTATTCTGCGAGCCGCATGATGTGATGGGGTTGTGGAAAAAACACTACGATGCAATGTCAGAGGACTACAGCCGCAATCATCCATCCCCGGATCTGGTGCAACAAATGGTTTTGATAGACATTAGAAACATGCTGCAGTCTATGGGGATGAACATAAGGTCATTTCCTCTTCCAGATATTGATCACTCATACGACGATGCCAGCCATATTCCTCGTGAGATATTTGAGGAAGCTAGCGTCGAGCAGAATACCGAAGATGTGCTATTGTGCGACTCACTCAACGCCGAGCAAAGGTCTGCCTATGATGAGATAATGACCGTTGTCTACAGAAAACAAGGTGGGTTGTTCTTTGTGGATGGACCTGGCGGGACGGGAAAGACATTTTTGTATAGGGCACTTCTCGCAAAACTACGTAGCTAGGACAAGCTTGCCGTGGCTACAGCTACATCTGGAGTCGCAGCAGCCATAATGCCAGGTGGGAGGACGGCCCACTCGCGTTACAAGATACCCCTCACTCTTCAAGAGGGCGGTTGCTGTAGCTTCATGAAATAGAGTGGTACTGCCAAGTTGCTGCAGCAAGCAGCTCTCATAATTTTGGGCGAGGCATCTATGACAAAGAGGCAAAATGTGGAAGCACTAGACAACAGCCTATGGGATATAATGGGCCGGTCAAACCTACCGTTTGGTGGAAAGACTGTTGTCCTTGGTGGGGATTTCAGACAGGTCCTCCCTGTTGTGCGGAAAGGATCCAGAGCTCAAATAGTCGGTGCTTCTCTACAAAGGTCGTATCTTTGGGAATCCATGCGCCACCTAAAGCTCGTCCGTAACATGAGGGCTTAGAGTGACCCGTGGTTTGCAGATTATCTATTGCGCATTGGTGGTGGAACGGAAGAGGTTAACGAAGATGGCAATGTACGTATTCCAGACGAGATATGTGTCCCATACTCTGGAGATGTCGAGAAAGATCTTCATACATTGATCGACATCATCTTTCCAGATCTAAATGAAAACATGGCAGACAAAGACTACATCACCACCAGAGCGATTTTATCTACACGTAACGATTGGGTGGACATGATCAATATGAAAATGATTGATATGTTCTAGGGCGGCGAGACGGTGTATCACAGTTTTGACTCTACGGTAGATGATCCACATAACTACTATCCATCGGAGTTCCTTAACAGTTTGACCCCCAACGGGCTGCCTCCACACGTCTTGAAGCTCAAGCTCGGGTGTCCTGTCATATTGCTTAGGAATATTGACCCTGCCAATGGGCTATGCAATGGTACAAGGCTGGTGCTGCGGGGGTTCCGAAGAAATACAATCGACGCTGAAATCGTGGTGGGGCAGCATGCTGGGAAGCGGGTATTCCTTCCTCGAATACCGCTATGCCCGTCTGATGACGAAATGTCCCCGTTCCAGTTTAAGAGGAAGCAGTTTCCTATCAGGCTGAGCTTTGCCATGATGGTCAACAAGTCACAGGGCCAAACTATCCCGAACATGGGTGTGTACCTACCCGCACCAGTATTCTCTCACGGTCAGTTGTACGTTGCGATGTCTAGAGCCACGTCAAGAACTAATATTAAGATCCTTGCCCTCCCGCCTGATGCGGAGGCACAAGAGGAGAAGGCCAAAAAGATAGAGAAGAAAAATGCTAAAAAGAATGCCGAGGGAAAAAAATAAGAATGCATCAAATAAAAAAGATAAGGATAAGAAGACCCCAATAACGGATGGAACTTTCACGAAGGATATTGTATTTAAGGAGGTTCTAACGTCATAGGCGAGGTAACAGAACATTACTAACGCATACAATGCATTTTTTCCATTCAATTTATATTATACAAATAATATCTCACTAATACCATATTTGTTGCTGTTCCTAGGTGTTTTTAAATGGTTTATGAGACTCTACACGGAGATGTTGTATATACACTTGTGTGATGGCATAATGAAAATTGAACATTTGTTATATTATTGTTATAAAAATGACACTTTGAGTGTTTTGTTCATAATATTTCGTTTTGTAACCATTCATAACTATTACACGTGTATGTTCTCAAAACCATGAGTTTTGTCGACTTTCCCCACTTTTCTCATGTGCCAATGTGGGATCAACCGAATTAGCACCTGCATAATTATAAACATAAATTACTTGAATAAAACCAACAAAACAAGTTAGCGATAATAATGAACAATAGTGCTAAACAATACCATACCAGTGGTCGTGGGATGGCATGATCGTAGTGGCGTTGGTTCCGCTCATTCAGGAGAATAGATCATTTGTATTTCTCATTGTTGCACCAAGGTCATTAGTTTGTGAGCACGAAAGAAATGGATATCGGAGATTTCTTTCTGTTAATATAAAACATTATTTTAGCCACATCACGCAAATGTCTATAAAGTAGAGTTTATGAGCTTGCGACGCCGCGCACTCCGTGACTGTGTTAAATTCATAAACTTTGCTTTTTGGATTAAATGTCACTTTAACGTTGGTATTTAATTTTTACAGTATTATTATCTTATCGTGCGATCCGTGTGTTTTTAGTACAAAATGTTAGCTATCCCGTAGCAACGCACGGACACGCTACTCTTTATATATATATATATATATAATCAACACGTACCCGACCGAGATGGCGCCAAGGTGGAATGTAGTGCTTATGCCATTTTAACGTCTGTGCAACCGGATATGGGTTCTACATCACATGGTTCTGGGTGTATAAAAATTAAGAGTGTTACTCATTTCGATCTATAAACAAAGAATAGTATACATGACCAGATAAGGATACCATGATCAGGAGTTGTTGATATTGCCGTTTTTTTTTTCATTGCACGGTATTCACGTTGCTTTCTATTCCGCTCTTCTCTTTGTTCAGTGGTTTTCTTGTTTCTCAAAAAACCAAAATCCTTAAAGGATAAAAAATAATATGCATCTTACCAATATTCGAGTGGTGCTCATCTTATTTTAGATAATTCCACTTGCAGGTTGTAACGAAATATTTCATGACACACTAATCTGTTTTTCATAATTCTGTAGTAGTTGGTTAACTGCAGAATTATGGGTTTTCAGTTTTTTCGAGCAGTTTGGATCTTTGTAGTAATATTTGTAGCTTCTCTTCAATGTAGCGTACTGGTTCATAGTGGCGGAGTTCTTGAAGGACACTATTATGTCTTTATTTGCTCGAAGCTATTTGCAGATTGAAAAATTAGGTACAAGTTTCAAGATGAACTGGTGACAAATGATTACATGAAGATGGCATTGGAAGAGCAATATGATGCTACATGCAGACACTAAGACTTCTTCGTGATCTTTCTCTGATATAATCCTTCGTTGCAGCTCTGATCCCTCGTACCAACCCTGGAGTCAATACCAAGCATTCAAATGTTTACATGCTTGTTTACATTCAACAAAGTAACAAAGAGAAATTTTATCTGATATTTGGACGATGAAGACATATTAACAACATCCACTTTCAGTTTCCTCTAACACATCAATTCATAGTCTCCCACTCACATGGACATAAATTGGTTTCGGACTGGATGAATTCCAACATGGTTGAATAGATGCAAAGTTTCATCTCATCATATGTGCTGACGCAGGCACACAACAAGAAATAGACATGTCCAAAACCCTCAAGGCTCTGTGGATCTATATAAGGAGCTAGAGGCCAAAAGTGAAACATAGTTTTTTTAGAAACAATGTGAATTTTATAACTCATGAACAATTTGGCCGATTAGGTTGATTATTAGTAAGATGGGCGCATGCCATTTTAATGAAACGTAGTCACGCTCTTAATGAAATATTGGCCGCATGTCATGTTCTTGAAGATGAATGATTCAGTAAATTGAGGACCACAATTCTGCTCAAGAAAATTCTGATGCTAAATTGCACTATTCATCATCAGCATTCTGTGATCAATGCATCAAAATGTTACACGCTAAGGCAAGAATTTTACACCTTTATTACGACCTGATATTTGGATCTCATATGACATCCGAAAAACCGGAAGTTCTAACTCCACATTTTACTGTTTGGCTGTCATTTGAAATTTATTTTCCATTTCAGTAGGAACCATACCAGTGCGCAGATGAAAATCTTTTAGTTATTAGTTCATCGCATTTCGAAAGCGAAAGAAAAAAATAGTGCTTTACTACATCACATTCCACAGGACAGCTATAGAACTGATCTGCATTAAACAGGACAGAGTTCAAGCACAAATGGCAAATACAAAGGTAGCTACTGATTCACTTCACAAAAGCATGGCCACAAATTAAATGCAGGTTAATGGAAGATTGGAAGAAGCTTCTCTACAAAGCGAATGCGAATCTATCGTCCATCAATCAACGTTAATTGTCGTTCCAGAATCATGCATGTTTTCAGTCGTCGTTGAGGTCGATCTTCACCGTGTCCAAGGCTCGTTCCCCTCTAGTGAACCTCTCGAACAGCACCGCTAGATAATCCTTGGTCGTCGTCTTCCTGTACCGCCTCGGCCTCTTGTCGTCCACCAGCTCCGGCAGCGGCTCGATCTCCTTCTCCGTGTCCAACGTGAAGAACATCGCCAGCGACACCCGGTCGCTCTCGGCGTTCGTCACCGCTCGGTGCATGGGGCTCCTGAACAAGCCGTTGCTCATGATCTGCAGCAATTTTTACAGAGTGCCCAGTCCGGCCATCAGATCAAGAACACGATTGCACATTTGCACTTGCAGCAGATACCTACCTCTGTAAGGTCTCCAACGTTGACGAGTAACGCGTTGGGGACGATGGGCACGTTGTACCAGACGCCGTCATCGTCGTTGGGCTTCTGCACCTGGAGCCCGCCGACGACGTCGTCGATTAGAACGACGGTGATCACGGAGGCGTCGGAGTGGGGTTTCAGGCCGAAGACGCCGTCCGGCTCGGGTCATCGCGGGTAGTAGTTGAACCTGGCGTGCGTCATGGCGACTCCCTCGTCCATCATGCCGACGAAGCGGCCCTCTTGCAGACCCAGCAGTTTGGCGACGTTGGCGAGCACGACGCCGGCGATCTCCCGGCACCTGGCGGTGTACTGGCGCAGGACGTCGGCGAAGGCAGGAGGCTGCGCCGGCCAGAGGCTCCGGATGATCCGGGACTCCGGCTCCACGATGAGGTAGAGCCTGTCGCACCAGTCTAGGACCTGGTCCTCCGACAGCACCATGTCGTTGCCATACCCTTCGTTCCTGAACTCCTTGCCGTTCGCCAGGTTGGAGTACTTCTGCTTCTCGTCCAGCGGGAGGTTGAAGAATCCCCTCGTCACTCCCATCATCTTGGCGAGAAATCCTGGATCCATTCCATGTCCGACTGCCTGGACAGAGCTAGTCTGAGTCTGAGCTGGTCAGACTGTGGATCACCACTTGGTACGAGGAAACGAGAAGAGATACCAGGAAGAGGCCCCAGTTCTGCAGGGCGGACAGGAGCTTGGCGGCCTCGTCGTCGGCGTCGTAGACAGCGGACACACTAGTGTACATAAACGAGCTGTACTTCTGGTTGGGAAACCCCTTCAGTCTCGATTTTCTAACTGGGAGTACGAATACGGAACTAAGGACTCCTCCTTTAGTCTCAGTTTCTCGTCCGGGACTAATGTCCACATTTAATCCCGGTTGGTAATACCAACCAGAGCTAAAGAGGCCTTCCGGCCTGGTCACGTGGACCGGCCCTTTAGTCCCAGTTGGTATTACCAGCCGGAACTAAAGGTTTTTTTTTCTATTTTCAATTAATGATTCATTTTGGTTTTCGAATATGATTTCGAATACGCATTCTACGCTGCTAATAATATACGTATTCTACACGCTTATAATGTTCGAACATTTTGTACAAATTAAAGTATGAAACTAACGTATATATTACATGCATATACATATATTGTACGTTATTTTATGTACATATAATATGTATATATATATATTACAAATAAAACTTGCATTGTATATTTTATCATATCTTTAGGATAATAATTTCACTCAATCTGGTTTGGCTTTCATATTTCGTTCACGTCATTGTAGAACTCGTCGACGGGGTTTAAGACCTGGTCATTAAGAAATTCTGCTATGGTCTCTTGAATTGCTTTCAGTTGGTCACGTCGTTTGACTTTTTCCTTCAACCATAGAGTCTTCAATAAAAGTTAAAGAAAAAACATTAATATATATATATATATATATATGTGTGTGTTGGTCACGTGATTACTTATATATATGAGCAATAAAAGAAATTATGAATATATGAATATATTTATATAACGTCCTTTGAAGATCTCTTCAGGAATTCTTTTTGCGTACGCCATGATGAACTCGCAAACATAGTATCCGCAGTAGTTGTTTCCCTGTTCTTGCCTTAGAACCCACTTTTACAAGAAAAAAGATCCGATGAATTGAAAGCATGCATGGTGTTAATTGAATTATATATATATATATATATATATAAATGTAGCTAGTACTTACTTTGTGTGCGATTATATCCAGTGGCGCTTTGCAATGTTTTATGTGGTGTTCCTCAATGAAACTTTCCAAACACTGCGCCCAATAAAATAAAAAATTAATTTGACCTTTAATAATTGTTGCAGTTAAGAGATCGGGATATATATAGTTGCTAGAGAGACCAAATTACCCTTGGATAATATCTATCATGTCTTGGTACTCTGTTTGCTCTTTTTTTAACGAGTCTAAGATGCTCAACCGACTATTGGCCATATCGATGACCATCAATATCCAGTGATTGCTGCATATGTTTTTATACACAAATATGATCGACATTAACTAGAGTCAACATATATATATATATATATATATATATATATATATATGGGAGATAGCTTAGCTAGTAAGCAAATAATTAAACAAATATCCATATGATCGACATTAATTATTTAACACTCACTTGAAGTTGTAGGGAAAGAGTATGTCCTTGTTTTGTTGGTTCACTAAGAACCTCATGAGATTTTTCTCGAGTTCAGCTTTCCATTGAGGCGGGGGATTAGGATGTTTGAATACGACATTTGGATCAACGAAACCAACATCATTATCCTTTCTCTTTCTGAGTTCTGTCATCTCATATCTGCATATATAAAAATATAGTATGAGGATATATAATTTATATATATACATGTAGCTTTATATATATACACTTTAATAGTAGAAAATAATCATACTTACAGACAATAGCAGCTAATGAGACTTTTGTCGAGAGAGTCCAGGTGGCATAATTGGTGTAATTCTAAAAACTCGACATATATAACGTCATCGCCACGGAAGTAATGTTGGTTTCTAATTCTGACAGAAACAAAGTTCTCTCCCCGTTCACACACTGCCATGTACCACTTGTTTAGCAGGTATATTTGCGTACCCAGTTCACCTAAGGCCTTAGGGTTGTATAGACTCTTTCCATGTTCAAATTTCTTCCAAGGATCCACTTTCGGAGCAGATGGTCCTTCAGCGAGCACTTGGGCAAGGTCCAAACCGGTATCCTCGTAAAACCGAGCCAAGTCCTCAAAATCTACGTCCAGTAAATCTAAGTTTGAACCATATTCATTACAAATGACAAGAGGGGGGACTGATTGTTGCGATTATTGTCTGAGTTGTGCAACACCTTTCCCTGCTCTAGTCTTTTTCTGTGCCGCCTCAAATGACTTGGTGAGAGAGCGGTCGTAGTCCGATTTTGACAGGGTCTTTTGAGATTCCCGCTTCTTCTGGTTCACCTTCTTTCTTAGAAGATCTGGAGGTTGGTAGAAGTACGGTTTCTCCGGGTTCTCCCTCGCTTCTCGTTGCTTTCTTACTTTTTCAAAGAACCGTTCACGTCTTTTTATACTATAGCATTTAAATCCTTTTCACTTTTCTTGTAAGACAGTTTTTTGGGAATAACTGGATTAGATGAGGCTTTCTTCTTTGCCGGCAGGTGGGCCAACGGCTTCGTTTGCGGGGCGGACCTCTTAGGAGCTGGCTGCTTCTTGGTCATCAAGGGAGGCGGGGCAGCCGTTGGAGACCTCCTTGTAGGCGTTGGAGACTTCCTTGGAGGTGGCGGCGGTGGCGGCGTTGCCACATGATTGCCCGGAGCACTGTGATGATCTGGAGATTGAATAATTAGACTTAGGTTGGCGGAGGCTCTGCTGTGTGAGTACAAAAAAGAATAATTAGGTATAAGAAATTTTTATTATTAATCATGCATTTCAATAGAAAATTAGTGAAAAAATTGTTTCATTCACTTTTGTCCGCACCTATTGTCTGACAGTTGAGGAAGCGGCGGTGGACTAGAGACCCCAGTAATAATGATGTAGCGCTTGTGCCATAGTATGAATGTCTTATCTGCTTCTCGTAGAGTCTTCTCCCTATCACCTTCTAGAATGTCAAGAGCCAGTTCACTAAAACCTTTGTTAACTCTATCCACTGAGACGTTAACATATCCAGGTGGTATTATTGCCCCATGGATTCTTGGTGTCTTGGTAGGATTTGGAGGAGAAAAAACACCGAGAGCTACCATGATTGTGGCATTCCCTTTTGGAATATGTAGCTCACATGATGTAAACGGTGCAGTGATGTCATCCACGGGAAAACGTAGCATTGCGTCATCTTGATTTGGTAACTCCGTGGAAGCGCAGCTGCTTTTCAACTGATCAGGGGGGCTAATATTAATGTTGATTCCTGGATCTAATGCCTGTCTTTGGGCACTCATTGCTATTTGCACTTGCTTTATGATTTCGTCCTGCATTCTAGCTTGCATGTCTTTTTCGCGCTCCTGTGCTTGAAGCAATGCCTCCCGTGACTCACGAACATATTCCTCCAACCTGCTGATCCACGCTGCTTCCTCATCTTTACTTCTCTGCCGGCTTCTGTAGGTATCTCTGTCGTTAGGGAAACCATGCTCCCAAGAAATGTTCCATCCTAAACCTCTCATTCGGCCACTATGTTCAGCAGTCCCGATGGCATACGTCAGTTCATCCTTCTCTCTATTGGGACTGAACGCACCAATAGCTTTAGCTTGTAGAGCATAAGAAAATCTTTGTGTTGCTCTTTCGAGTTTTGGGCTATGAACCAGCTTCCCGGTCTCTAGGTCCAGTCTTTCCCCATGAGCGAAAAACCAATTCTTCGCGCGTTTGGGCCAATTGAGAGATTCTGGTGTGATACCCTTGGCAAGAATGTCCGCTTCTATTTTTTCCCACTTGGGAATGGCAGTCGTGTAGCCATCTGATCCCATGCTATGGTGGTATACCTTCTGTCGGGCATTCTCTTGGTTCCTTCTCACCTGTTCCTCACTCTCTTCCGATGTCTTGTACTGTACAAAATCATTCCAGTAGGTCCTCAACTTCGCGATCGGGCCCCTAGTATTGAAATTGGGCGTTAGGTTCTTCTTGATGTATTTCGTGTATAGGGATTTCTTCCAAGTCTGGAATTGTGTGGCCATCTTCTTCATAGCTCACTTTCGAACTAGCTCCTTCAATTCATCATCGTTGATATCATCATAATCATCCGCTTGCAACGTGAAATTTTAAAGGATATCATCCCAAATTAAATTCTTATCAAGATCAGAGACAAAACTAACATGAGGCTCGTTGATCTTTTGCTTCCATTCACGGGCATTGATCGGAAGTCTGACCCTTACAAGGTACCCACAGTGTTGCACGAATTTCCTTGCATGTGGACCAAGTGGATCGCCTGTCTCTATATTGAATTCTGATATTATGTAGTGCCCCTCCAATGGCTTTTTCGGGCCTTGAATATTTTTGTTTTTCACCGTTGTGGTCGTCGATCCAGAGGGCTACGTATAAAAAAGAATAAATAAATATCATGTGTACACATAATAGATGACAGATATTCAAATATATATATATAATATTCAAATATATATATATATATATAAATATATATACCTCACCAGTATTTTCTTGCACAATATTTTCTTGGTTATTTTCAAGAGCCAGGTATTGACTCCCGTCATCTACATCCTACTGGTCACCATCGGCAAAATGAGTGCCGGTGTTGATAATATCCATCATTCCTTCATCCATGTTGTCTCTCGGGGCAGCCATCTAGCTTTTACACCACTAGATATATCTATAAAAAATAAAAACCATATATATATAAAATGGATCGAGTCATGTGCTTAAAATTAATTAAATAACTACACTCGAAATTCAAGTCTCCAAAGCATAACTTTGATTTCTTTTTTTCTAGAAATATTTATTGGCAAGTGATATATATAACAAATTTATATATATAACAATATAAATTAATTATATAACCCTATTTTTTATGGTTTTCTTTAGGTTACATACAACGCGCTCCCTAATAATTTCTACATGGT